TTTGTAATCCCTCTGCTTCCCTGTGTGTGTGTGTGTGTGTGTGTGTGTGTGTGTGTGTGTATGTATGTGTGTGGATCTTGGGCTAAACATTAAGCGGCTCCATGTTATCAGAGTGAGACAGTGATGTCTCTGTCACAGGCTGAGGTCGTGAACCAATAAGGGACAGACCCCGGTAGCAGACCTGGACCACCTGAGGAAGAGAAGCAGTGTGTGTGTGTGTGTGTGTGCATGTAGTATCAATAAAAGTATTGATCCCACAGTGGGAGAGTGTGGCTGCATGAATGGCTTCTTTTACACGTAAAGAAAGAGTGCAAATATGTTTCTTATGGAGGGCAAGCGTGGGGGTTATCAGAAAGGTGTGTCGGGGAAGCTACCTAAAATGATAGAAGGAAGAATAGCTTTCAAATGTTTGTTCCGGCACACCAGCAGTCTATGTTTTGTACATTTGCACAGCCATATTTGAGACTTATGATTTATGTAAATGTTTGTACCGAATTATCGGTAAATAAAACTGAATATTTTTTGCTTTTGAATCTGTTTTGATAATAAAAAGTAAGTTAGAACATCACATTAGTGAGTCGTGTTCCAGGTCAGCATGTTGAGATATGTGCCTTTGTACAGCTATACACCATGTTTTTTAATTGCATTGTATTTCCATAATCATATTATATGTGAGCTTTGCATGATTTAATGGTTTGATAAAATAAATGCCATATTTGTAATGTACTGTAATATTGAAATATCGTTATATAATAACATGCGTTAACGTTAACGCCTCTCTGTAAATTGTTGACTGTTGATTTGGCTGCAGTAAAGAGATTTATGACACCTAATAAAAACTGCTATTAGTCATTCATCTGCAATTATAAAAATGGGTAACTAGAATTCACTGATTAAGCACCAACAGCCAGACTTGTGCAGAGAAAGCTGCCAACACACACATACTGTATAAATATAAACATGGATGCAGACCTCTGCCGGTAGTTTGACACATGCACAGCGCACACTGTACCTATAAAGAGTCTCTGGAGCAGATGTCGGTCCTCACACGGTGCCACTGCAGGGTCCTGTGTGTTTGTTTTGCCTGTACTCTAATAAAACAGTTAGATGAATGGCGGACCTTTAGATCAGAGTCCAGTGATACTAGCAAACACACCTTTAGGGCTGGGAAGGGGGGACTGCTTCGCTGTATAGGAGTCACTGACCATAAAGTTATCGAGCTGACAAAGGTCGGACTGTTCACACACCGGTGAGCTGGGCTGACTTTCTCTGTGTGTGTGTGTGTGTGTTTTGCATTGTTGTGTAATAAATTAACACCAAACAAAGTTTAGTTAGGGAAATTAGCGTTCTCTCTCTCAGGAAGCACTGTGAGCCTGCACTCGTTGCCCTTTTACAGGTCCCTCTTCATCAGTGTGGAGTCAGTCGGCTGTGGTGAACTGAAGGAACCCGAACTGAACTGAGATGAACAAAGATCTGATGAATTGAAATGTGATGAGTTTAGTTGAGAGAAGATCAGATGTGATGAGCTTCCTGCCTCCTCCGACTCAATTTTCATCCTGTCTCTTTTTTATCCGTGCTGATCTAAAGAAAGTAATTCATGCTTTTATTTCATCACATCTGAAATACTGCAGCTCTCTCTCTACCTGCCTGAGTCAAAAAAATCTCATGTCTCCAACTATAGAACTAAACATAGAGACCATCTGCACCGACTACCAGCAGGATGTAGAATTGATCTTACTGATTCCTTTTAGAGCTCAGAAAGGTCTAGCCCCCAGTTATATTTCTAACCTTTTAACTCTTTATGAGCCAAAACACAACCTACGATCCTAAGGAAAGGACCTTTTGGTGGTTCCACAGTCCAGGATCAAGACTAAGGAGACTGTCTCTATTAGAGCATCTGTACTTTGGAACGGCCTACCTGAGGAAATTAGGCTGAATCTGTTTTATCCTTTATATCCCTATTTTTCAAAATACCATTACACAATGTTCCCTGTTTTTTTTACCTCATATATTGCTTTTCTTATTCTTTATTGTAAATTCTTTGTAAGACTGTGCTTTACAAATAAAGTTAATGAGATGTTAGGAGAGAGAATGAAATCTGAGCAGATGAGATGGACCTGTATGAGAACTCGAGGTGAGATGGAAAAGTCAAACTATCAGTAACTCCAAAGCCAATGCCTAAAATGCCTGATTAATCAGAAGGTTTTTAAAAAAGAATTGTGATGCAAAAACTGCATGTTGTTTTTAGGATATTTTTTTGATATTGTAGGAGAAAATTGCAAAGTGAGTTTGCTCCTTGGTGAAATTTGGCTCAGGAAACTACAGCAATTGGTCAAAATTGCGGAAAGGTTGTGCAGAATTCAATTGGATTGACTGAAATTGCCTTAATCGCATCTTCCTGGAGGAAGTGAAATATGATCAGGAGGAATGTGATAAGGTCCGTTAAAACTGGGTAAAATGAGCTGATCTGAGGTAGAAGAGATATGTTTAAATGAAATGAGAAGATTCAAGATTAGATAAAGTGAAATGTCATAAAATCAGTCCATAAATTTGATGTGACGAACTGATTTGAGACAGAAAGGGACCAGACCACTGCAGACTATATTTATGTTTTAAACTGCAATACAAGTGACCAACATGAGAACATACGTGACACGACACAAGACAATAGAGGGAACTTGCATGTAAATGAACCTGATCAAAACAAGAACCATAAACCATAAATAATAGGACAATGAATGTGACATAAAGGTACTTAAGCCTAACAAGTAGCAAAAGAATGTGATAAAGTGATGAAGATCATTTTATGGATGGTTACATAAACTCTGATAAACTAAGATACCAGAAGTGATTGTCTCACAGATTCTCTGGAACCATCATTACCCTCATGTTGTGACAAGCCCACGGAGGACGCCAGCTTTTATACTGCGAGCAGGTCTCATCTCACCAGATCACTTTCACTTTTTGAGGAATTTGTTCATGTTTTTGTCCTCGTCTGCGGAATGAACAATGAGATGACTCTGACCTCTCAAAAAGAAGGTGTTTAGGTCTTTTAAAGGAGATCGAGGGTTTCAGTGTTGACTTCAGGTGAGTGCTGAAATTTTAACTTTTTCAGTTTTCTGTATGGCTGATCATATCTGACTGTATCTCAGCACTAACAATGCATTAGGAAGGCAGTTGCACTATACAGTATTTCATAATATATAAACAGACATGAAACAGCAAACTTCAGTCAACTACAGTTTCACACCTTTAATTAAATATTGTTAAAGTCCTGAACGAACGTGTTTTAAGAAACTAACTTTGGCATAAATGTCACTCTATGCTTTCTCAGTTAGAAAATGACACACTATCATTTGGAAAAGTCTAAATTATCTTTGTTTTTAAGATATAGCACATGGGAAACATCCTTCATTTCAATGGCTGTGAAACCGGTAGAGCCCATAGTATGGAGCTATTATTGTAGCATAACTATTCATAAATGTGTGTGGAGAGTTGTGTCACTGTGTCTCAATCTGTGTGTGCGTAATCGGATTTGTAAATGTGGACAAATATCTCTACACACACAAATCTGCACACGTGTTTGCAGATCTGCCACAGCAGAAGTGTCGCAAAAGTCACAAACTGTCTGAATTTTAAACTCTTGGAGCAAATACTTGAGACTGCTCAGCCATTAATATGTATGTCTGCATTTACTCTCCACTCACATTTGTAAATAGTTTTGCTTCAATAATAGCTCCATGCAGTTGGGCCAGAGCCCTACCAACTATCAAACATGTCAAATAATTACGAAAATTAACTTATTAATGAACCGTTCTCTGTGATACTGCGGTGCTGATGGACCAGACCAATCTGAAATCCGCTCCGTGGTCCATGGTTCCTTTTCTTAAACAAATAGTTTGACATTTGAGGAAATACGCATATATAGGAAGATTGATACCACTCTCATGTCTGTGTGATAAATACGAAACTGCAGCCAGAAGCCTGTTAGCATAGCATAGCAGAAAGACTGGATATAGGTGGAAACAGCTAGCCTGGCTCTGTCCAAACTAAATCTGCTGACCAGCCACTCTGGAGCTGGACTCTGGAGCTGGACTCAGACTACAGGAGTTTTAAAATCCTAACCAATTTTGAGATTGGGTTACACATGAGGTGAAACTTTTCAGATTTTCTTGGATAATCTCAAGCATGCACACACTTACAGCATTTGAAAATAATGATGCATCACACCCAGAGGGAGCAATGCTCCACCTCATGTCCCCAAAACTCCTGCAGTCTGAGCCTGGCTTTAAGCTGGTAGGTGGATTTCTGCTGGCTGTTTGGCAACCTCACAGTAATGACAAGAATGACAAGGAGAAAGTCCAAAGAGTCCTGCACATAAGCTGTAGTAACTTGCTGTTTTTACACTGAAATATTGCATGTTAACTAATGAGGTTTCGAGGTTGTTGGCATGTGGATTTTGTTACCTTCTGAGAGACAGGCTAGTTGTTTCCCACTGTTTCCAGTCTTAATGCCAGGCTAAGCTAACTGGCCGCTGGCTGTAGCTTCATATTAACTATATTAGAGTGGTATCAGTCTTCTCATCTCACTCTTGGCAAGAAAGCGAATACGAGTACTTACATTTACATATATTCATTTGGCTGTTGCTTTGGCTCAAAGCAATGTACAGATGACATGTCACAGTACATCAGAGCCTTTGGGAATAAGTGCTGCAACACACAGGCTGCTTTATTAAAAGTTCCAGTTGTTGTATTCCAGATAAACAGTCCACTAAAGTATGTTTCTGAAGAGAAATAGTCAACGCAGTAACAGAATCTGGATCCATATCTGATCTGCACTGCCTAGTTTGACAGCTTGATCTGAGTTTGGTGTCTGAGTTTGACAATTAGCTCATTAACTCTGGCACAATTACACTAATGTGTTGTTAGGAAGTCGAGGGAAAGTCAACAAATGCATATTGAGCGACTATTGAAACAAAGCATCGGTTACATGTATTCACTAAAATGTCAAACCTTTGCTTTAGCTGTTTGATCTATAAAATAACAACATTTTCCTCTCTCCTTCTCTTCTCTTAAACAGAGGATCTTCTTAAAATAAGGAGCAGTTGATTAACCAGAGAGATCGGACTGCGTTCGTAGCTGAAATGAATTCGACTGGTGCCACCATGGGGACGAATACAACTTCGATGCACTGTTTAATGTCGTCCACAGAAGATTTTGTAACTCTGTTCCAGCGTGTTTTGATGATCCTGGAGATGGTCGTGGGCCTGCCAGCAAATATTGTGGCTTTGTGCATTTTCTGTTTCCGCATGAAATATTGGAAACCCCACACTCTCTTCCTCTTCAACCTGGTTCTGGCTGACTTCGTGCTCCTCATGAGCGTGCCCTTCCGCATCGACGCCAACCTCCGAGGGGAGAACTGGGTGTTTGGACAAGCCTGGTGCCGCATTAACCTCTTCATGCTGTCTGTCAATCGCTCTGCCAGCATTGCATTCATGACAGCCGTGGCAGTGGATCGCTACTTCAAAGTGGTCCATCCGCTTCACTGTGTCAGCCGGATTACTTTAACTCAGTCGGCCTGGCTCGCAGGCCTGATTTGGATGCTTGTGACCACCCTTCGGATTCCGCTGTTGACCATCAACCTCCTCCACCAGAATGGCAACATCTCCCTGTGTCGCAGCTTCAGCTCCTACACTGAAGTCCATTGGGCGATAAAAGTGCACTACGTGGCCTTCATTGCAGAGTTCTTGCTGCCCTGGTTCTTGTTGCTGTTCTGCTCAGCCCGGATTACCTGCTACCTGCTCAAGCGGCAGGTGGGCGGGCAGAAGAAGGTACGGAAGGCCATCCTAGCAGTTGGGGTGATTACTTTGGTGTTCACCGTCTGCTTCATGCCCAGCGTCCTCACAGGCATCGGCGGCATGTACATCAAATATTTCCACCCAGAGGACTGCACGTCCTACAATCAGATCACCCGGCTATTTGTCCTGTGCATCGGCTTCACCTACTTCAACAGCGCTCTGGACCCTGTCATCTACACTTTCTGTAGCTCCGTGTTTCGTGATGCCTTCAAGAGCTTCTTCAGCCACCTGGGCTCTGTGAAGAAGAATGTCAGAGCAGACAACACAGTGACTGATGAACAGCAGAAACTATCAAATTATTGATGCCTTGAGGAAGATGCTGAGCCACTCTGATGGTATAACAAGTGCTGGGAAAGTTACTGAAAAATAGTAATTAGTTACTGTTACTAAAAGTTAGTCAGTTACTAAAGATACGTTTCTCTGCTTCACGTCTGCTTCTGTGCTCTTGTACTGTTATATTATATATATTGTTTAGTTATTAATACTCCCGACCACCAGAGGGCAGCAACCAAAACCCATGCAGATGTAAACCAAGCCCCCAGGAAGAGCGCCAGGCTTTGACATAGTGGCCGAACCATGTAAGTACAGCCCATAAAGTTACAGTGTGAAAGAAGAGCAGCACAACCGCCTGTGAAATGCCATTTTGAAAGTCTAGAATATCTAAAAGATTAAGTTATTTATCTCCATTCAAGTTAGCAAAAGGCTAAACAGGAAATTAGGGCCACTGTAGAGCCCGCGCAGTAGAGGCTTTTTTGGCTTCACACGCCACTGAGCAGCTTTCCAACGCTGCCTCGAGTTCTCTCTTTATACATCCACGATTTAAATAATCACTAATGACGTTAGATCATAAACTGGAAAGTCAACGAGATACACTCGGATACGTTGTGTTTGTCTGCCGTCTTCTGCAGTTTTTCACTGTGTTCACACAGTAACGACTAACGAGCCCATTTAAATTGAATTTAATGTGTAAACAATAATTAGTTACATTACTAGTTGCCGCCAAAAGTAGTGGAATTACAGTAACATGTAACTTTATAATGCGTTAATCCTAACACTGCTGCCAACCTGTTTAATGGTCCAGTGTGTAGGATTTAGTGGCATCTAGTGGTGAAGTTGCACAATGCAACCATTAGAATACAGCTCAGCCTTCCAAGCGTGTAGGAGAAACAATGATAAATGTGAAATTCCCTATCTCGATCCAGTGTTTGTGCAACATGGCAGACTCTTTGTAGATAATAACAGCTTAATGTAAAGAAAACACAACAATTCTTATTTTCAGATGATACACTAATGAAAACATACATAAGAATGTTATATTCATTTTCTTTCAAATGTTAAATATTTAAACTCCAGTATGTGTTTTATACTTCAGTCTGAGTGTGTTGATGAATGTTGCAGGAGTGTGTATAACAGTGTAATAAATACAGTGGAGTCACTGCAATGTACAATATTTATGCTCAAACTGTATAAAATACATGAATAAAAGCAGGAAAACTTAAATGTGTGTTAATTTGTTGGCTGTTTCTTTCTATATATAATATCTATCTGATGCTGTTCTCAGAGGTGTTTATGATAATGAAGGGATAAGATAAAGATTTCTTTTTTATTTTCATTATTTGTTTGTGGACAGTTGAAAGGTAAGGTTATGTGGAAATGTGCAGAACATTTACAAACTGTGTAGGATTATATAAACATTTCAGCTTATATCTGCATTGCTAAGCCAGTCAGAGGTTATGAATAAACAGTTAAGTTTGAAAAACTTGAAACCACACCCATATTTATGTATCAATAAAACCCAGCCAGGATAATAACCCTCTGTGAACAATCAACAATAGTCCACAGAGCAAATACATACAGTAAAAAAAAAGAGATAAAAACTAGGTCTACAATGAAAACAAGTAACTTATTGTCTAATTTTTACCAATATGTGTGTCAGGGTATATAATACGTATACAATTTACAGTATGTACAGAATACAGGTGGAGCAATAATAATAATCCTGCCACCATTTTATTCAAGAGAAAATGTTTGACTTTTTTATTCTATTATTCTACAATATATTGTGTATATACAAATATAATAATGTAGGTGATATATGTGTTGATGTATGTATGTGTGGCCTTTTTCAGAGTGATGTGCTTTTAACTATTTTCCTTCCACAAGTAAGAGATGTTTAATATGAAAATATCATAAATGTTAATTATAGATACTTTATCGCCTTCTTAGACTAAAATGTTTCTGCATAGTGAACTTCAGCTGTACACTGAGCACATGAACACAACAACCATGAACACATTAACAAAGCAGAAGAAAACAGACACACACAGTCAGATAGATAGATAGATAG